TGTATTTTTAAAAAACAATATTTTTAACAGAAATTCAATTATTTTCATAAATGTCAAAAAAATTCTTGCCCTAATTTCAATTATTTTAAAAAATTTTCCTCAATTCAATGATTTTCAATATCTACCATTTTAATAAATCCAAAAGAATTCAATTATTCAAAATAAATTTTAATAAAATTCTACGCAAACATTTCATTATTATCAGAAATAATAAAAATTTTACAGGAATTCAATTATTTTCAAAAATTTTAATAAAATTCCTGGCATAAATTCAATTACATATTTTCGAAAAAATTTTAATAACATTTTTCATATAAATTCAATTCTTTTTAAAAATTTTAATCAAATTGTTGTTAAGAATTCAAATATTTTCATAAAAAACAATATTTTTAGCAGAAATTCAATTATTTTCATAAATTTAAAAAAAATTCTTGGCAAAATTTCAATTATTTAAAAAAAATTTCCTCAATTAAATGATTTTCAATATCTTCTATTTTAATAAAATTTTCCAAAAGTATTCAATTATTTAAAATAAATTTTAATAAAATTCTATGCTAACATTTAATTATTATCAGAGAAAATAAAATTGTTAGCAGAAATTCAGTTATTTTAAAAAATTTTAATAAAATTTTTGTTAAGAATTCAATTATTTTCATAAAAAACAATATTCTTGGGAGAAATTCAATTACTTTCAAAAATTTTAATAAAATTCTTGGCAAGAATTCAATTATTATTATCTTCGACATTATTTTAGTACCATTCTTTTTAGAAATTCAATTATTTTCGATAGAATTTTAATAAAATTCTTTTTAGATATTCAATTGTTGTCAAAAATTCAATTATTTTTGATAGAACGTTACACTGAGAGAAATGGATAGTCAGATTTTGATGTTAAAAAGATGATGTTACACGATACTATCATTATGCTACTGCCAACCATCACAGATGCTAAAAAAAATATAGTTATGCTACCCCGTACTACCAAGATGTTACTCCTGATGATATTGATGGTAACGGTGACTATCTAGATAGCTGTCTGTATACGTAGCATTAAAGATGGTCACCCTAACCACAATTATGTTACCCACTACTATAAATTTCTCTCCGTGTATTAAAATTCTTCTTAGAAATTCAATTATTTTTAAAAATGTTAATAAAATTGTTGGCTAGAATTCAATTATTTTCGATAGAATTTTAATAGAATTCAACGATAATTAATATAGAAGATATGGAATTACTTTAAAAATTATTTAGAAAGTTTAAAAATCACACAAAATTTAAAAAAATTACGTATTTCATTTTTATTTAAATCGATAATTTTTACAAAATATTTATACTGAAAAAATATTTTGTTCAATTAAAAGTTCAAAATTTTTGAAATACAACAGCTGATTCAAAGCCAATCAAGAATTTCATAAAAAATACTTTCAAAAATTTAGAATTTAAATTTATTAAATTATAAATGAATTAAAAATTTTGAAAATCTAGTTCTGATTAAAAATATTATAAAAAGTCTACAAAGTAGATGAAAAATTATTTTTCACCTTTTTTTTTTATTTCCGTTACATTTGTTTCTAATAAAAAATGAATCACACTATCATCTAACTTTTTGAATGGAGAACATTTACAAAAACGCCTCCTCTTATGATAAACATCTTTCTCTCCTAATGGATCTAACATCCTAATAAACTTTCATATTTAAATCTCCAAACAAAATTACATGACGAAAATTAAAATAATACTTTGTCATTTCAAATTGCGACAGTGTAAAAAACACATGTCTTTCCGCCCTACGCTCCGAATTGCTACAATTTTCAACTAATGTATTTTTAATGCTCGCTGAGAATTAATCGTGTTTTCATTTTTTTAAACCCTTTTTTCCAAGTGCATTAAAAATTAATTTTACTAAACAAATGTTTTATTTAGTTAAAAAATATCAGAAAAAATTTAATATTTTCTTATAGAGTAGAAGAACAATACGGACAGAACCATATATAAAATACATTATATATATTTACAACTCGAAAATAAATTGGAAGAAAATTTTCTCTATATAAAGAAATTGAACAATTGTTTGAATAAAATTTCAATAAAATCAAAATGGAAATGCAGTGAGAACGAAGTTTGTGTGCAAGGGGGAATTTATTTAATTCACTTAAGATGGTATTACAATAAATTTCACACAAAGGAGTCACTGTTTTCTCGGTTGGATTTTATCTCCTTTGCTGACAAAATGTTTTGGGTTTTAAAGTACTATAAGTAGCAACCTTGGCGCATAAAGGAGAATTAAATGTTGTATATATACATCCTTTACATTCCTAGAAACAGTGAAACTAGTGCATATTCACACTCAGTGTTGTTACCAAGACGACGAAACCATTCTCAAGAACCAACATTACCGCGCGTTTCTATTCGGTATTCAAAGAGCTTTTCCGAGCTTCTGCCAACTCACTAGGCAAAACATAAATAATCTACACAACAATTAGTTTTGTGATTATTAAAGCAAATGTTTAACTTATGGGGAAAATTCAGATATTACTATCTAATTACATATCGAAATTATTTAATTATATTAATTTAATTAAATTTACAAAATAAATTCATATTATTAATTAATAAACTTTCGTCCATTTATTTATTCAAGGTTGGTCACAAATTTCAGTTTATCAATTTCCCCGACATTTCTCTGACAATTTACTGACATTAAAATTACTTTCCCTGACAAATTCTTTTTATAAAAAGAATTATTAAAATTCATAAATTTTACTCATTTTCCGTAAATTTTTATATTTTCCTGCATACAGGAAATTCATAAATTTTACTCATTTTCCATACAGGAAAATTTATGGATTTTAATAATTTCTGAAAATTACAATTATAATAACCCTTCCTGAATTCAATTATTTTCTACAATTTATTCTCAACTAAACTTCATCTTTAAATCAATTATTTCAAATAATTTTCCGAAAGTTCTTCTAGAATTCAATTATTTAAATACAGAAACTTAATTGTTTATAATAATTGTAACTGTCCATGTTTCTTTCTTAAGTTATTAAGATATAATAATTTCGAAGAATTAAACTAAAGAAATTCTTACAAATAATTTTTTTAATTAAAATTTGGTAAAATATTTTAAAACATAATTGAATTTTTGAAAAATATAAATAAAAATAATCAAATTCTTGAAGAATAGGATTAATTATAAATAAGAGCATGATTTTTCCGAAATTTAAATAAGTCTAAAAAATTAAGTTTTTATAAATTTTTTAATTACATTCTTCAAAGAAAATTGAATCTTAAAAAATATGATAAAAGAATTCTAAGAATTAATTTTCAGAAATATTTTAATGTAATTTTCAGAATATAATTGAATTTCTTAAAAAAATTTTTGTGTAATTTAAAAAAACTAATTAATTTTTTGATGAATTTTAATTAAAAATTTTGTAAATGATTTTTTTCTTCCAAATGTTAAAAATAATTCTAGAATGTAATTATTTTGCATGTATTTGAATTTTCGGAAATATGTAATTGAAAGTACTGAAAATATTGAATTTTAAAAAATTAGAAGCTAATTATCATTCATTTTCATTATTAAATTTACATTTAAAGATTTTTCATTATAATTTTTGATAATTCAATTATTTTCAAAATTTGCAATTTAAATTCTTCATAAAAATATTTTAATGCAATAATTTTCCGAAAATAATTGAATTTCTTAAAAAAATTTTTGTGTAATTTAAAAAAACTAATTAATTTTTTGATGAATTTTAATTAAAAACTTTGTAAATGATTTTTTTCTTACAAATGTTAAAAATAATTCTAGAATGTAATTATTTTGCATGTATTTGAATTTTCGAAAATATGTAATTGTTGAATGTAATGAAAATATTGAATTTTAAAAAATTAGTAGCTACCAATTTTCATTCATTTTCATTTTTAATTTTACCCTTAAAGATTTTTCATTAAAATTTTTGATAATTCAATTATTTTGAAAATTTGCAATTAAAATTCTTCAAAAGTTGATTTTCAAAAATTGGAAAAAAATACTTCAAAAAAAATTAATTATTTTCAATTAAATTTTACAAAATTTTTGAAAATAAATCGACCAAAGTCTCAATTTTCTTAATTTCCCTGATGAAAAATTCTTTTTCCTGTTATTTTCCTGACCTTACTGACAAAAATTTTGTTTTTCTGACATTTCCCTGACTTTACTGACATACATTTGGCCACCTGTTATTTACTTCTGACTGTATTTTTTTAGTTCCAATAAAAGAAAATTGGAAAAGAAATTTCTCAACTGTATAGAAGGTAAATTTTAATTATGAATCTGGTCGGAAAAGTTAATATGTTTTATTATTCGAAAAATAAAATAAGATTTGGAACTCTTTTTCAAGAAATAAATGCGGTATTTAAAAAGAGGCACTTTTAGTCCTGATTTTATCGAATATTTATTTTGCAAAAACTTCATTTCGAGAATAAAAATCATTTTCAAGAATAATATTCTGCTTTGAGGGGGAAAATTATATTTGCGAGGATGAAACATTTGGAAATGAAATTAACAGCTTTCATGAGATGAAACGGAATTTGTGTTTTATAATAAGAGGAATGGAGAAGAAATTTCGACTCTTGGAGTTTGCTTTTGTGATTTTGGTTTCATGATATGAGATGTGCAGAACTCAAGAGGAATGGCATTTACTATTCAAAGCATCTGCATTTTGATTAACAAGAGCTAAGTCTCGATTCTGTTAGTCGAATATAATTACGCTTGACTGGAAACAATGCTAAATTGAATCTTGTTCAATTACTGTCAACATATGAAAAACGAAATATGAGAACTATTATTCAACTATTACATACCTTCTCCAAAATATTATTTATCTTCTATAATTTTATATTTTAACAAAAATTAACGAATAATAATGACATTAATAATAATAATAATAATAATAAAAATAATTAACAAAATAATCGTTTTTAATTGCTTTTATAATTTATTTCAGGTGTTGTGCTTACCCTGGTTCCGGTTCACGGCGGAAAAAAGGTAAACATTTTACGAGTTAAAAATACTATTTAGCAAGACTTTTAATGAAATATTAATTGAAATTGTATTTTATTAACTTTTATGGACCTTGCATCGAGATATAAATATCCAGATTGAAACATAAAGTATATAATATAAAGTTGCGCTTCATTTCGTAAAAGAGAGTTACTCTGGGAGAAGTTTCCTTCGGTTGGAGATTAACAAAAAAAGAAATTTTTCTTCAATGTTTATAATTAATATTTATTTCAATCCTAAAAAGTTCTTTCATCTTTTGTTGTATATTTATTTTTATTTACTTGTAATTTACTCTTTTTCATTTTATCATTAATTATTTTAATGCCTTTTTCTTCAATACGTATAGGTATAGTATATATAGTGCTGCGAGGAAACAATTCAACCCACTAAAAAAAAGTAAAAAAAATTGCTTGGCACAACTTTTTCTACTTAAAAATTGAGCATCAATTTACTAAAACTCTACTAAAAAATGTACCCTGGGATTTATTTACTTCTGAAAAATTCGCCTGACAGGAAAAACAGAGTGAAGTAACATTGCCTTCCTAAATCTACTCCATTTACAAGAAGAAAAGAAATTTTTGTCTGGAAAAATTTACTTTTTTTCCTGTATATCCTTAAAAGAAAGCACATGATTTTATCTACTTCAAAACATTGTCTAGCGAAAATAGTTTTCTTTATCAGCATAAAATAAAACTCTTTTCATTTCTAAATCGACCATGTTTTAATACATTTTTAAAATTTTTATTTTCTCCTGACTTTTTCCTGATTTGCAGACAAAATTTTTGACTTTTTCCTTGATCCTAAAGAATATTCTGATTGACGCTAAAAATGATTAGATACTCAAAAAAAATGTTCTAATACAATAGTTTTAATTAAAATAAATATTTAATCATTATTATTTTTCCATAAGAATTAAATTAAGATTGTCAAAAATTTTAAACTCAAAAACCTTTTGAAATTCAATAACTTATAATAATAGTGTTACTATAACTTCTTCAAAATTATTTCTATCAATACAATTCAATCATTAATTTTTAGAATTTCTAATTACAATACTTCTTTAAAGCAATTATTTTGAATAATTTTTGACAAAGTTCTTTTTGAGAATTTAAAAATCTATTTATTTTCCAATTATTTCCATTCAATTTTACCAAAATTTCAATTATTCAGAATTTCTTTAATTAAATATACAGTTAAAAAATAAAAACTTCAATTAATTTCAAAAAAATTTTAATTAAACTTTTTCAAAAAAAAAAAAAAAAAAAAAAAAATTAGAAATTCTACGAGAATTTAATTATTTTTAAATACAAAAATAAATAATTTTTAGAATAACTGAATGTTTTTTAAAATAGAATTCTTATACATAATTTTATCAACAAATTTTTAAATAATTGAATTGTTTCGATGAATTTTAATAAAATTTTTAAGAATAATTATATTTTTTGAGGATATTCAATTAAAATTGTATTAAAAATAATTAAAATTTTTGAAAAGAATTGAATTTTGGAGGAGAATTGTGTTAATTATAAAAGTAATTGAAATCTTGATCAGAATTTTAAAAAAATTTTGCAAAGAATTTTATTAAAATTTTCAAAAATAATTGAATTTCTAGGAAGAATTTTCATATTTAACAAGATAATTGCATTTTTTCGAAAAATTGTGTTAAAATTTTTGAAATAATATGAAAAATATTTTCAAAGATTCAACTAATTTCGAATGAATTGAAATTAAAATTAAAAATAAAATTAGTTCTACAGAATTGTTAATTAAATTAATACAAAATTGGAATTTTCTAAAATTTTAAATAATTGAAACCTTTTGAAGTTCATTTATTTATGAAAATTTTAAAAACAACTCTTATAAAATGTCATTATTTTAAAAAATTTGATAAAAATTATTTATTATAAAATAAATAATTCATAAGTAATAGTTTTATGTTAGTTCTTTAAGAATTAAGTTATTTAGAAAGTAATTATTGCCAAAAATAGAAAAAATTGAAGGTATTTTATTAGAATTCTCAACAATTTCATATTTTATAAGGCAAACAAAAAGGCACCAAAAAATCAAAATTTTTTTATCAATTCTAAAAATTAAATTTTTTTCTAGTACTTTTAATAAAATTCTCTGACTTTTTCCTTAATTCTCTAATTTTCCAGACCTTAGACAAGCCTGAGGATGGTTTTTTGTTGTCCGATCTTTGTAATATGCTCTGAAAAAAAATTTATTTGGTTCAAATAACCGATTACTTGACTATTATCAATTGAATATTTAATTGGATCAAACAATATTTTTTGTAGACAATTAAATGGTATTTGCTTCAAATACTGAATTTATTGGTTCAAATACCATTTAATTGACTACAATAAATATTATTTAATTCAAGTAAATTTGATTCAATTAAATATTTAATTGATTCAAGTAAATTTGATTCAATTAAATATTTAATTGATAATAATCACTTAATCGGTTATTTGAATCAAATAAATATTTTTTTCAGTGTGGACACTTTTCCTGATTGGTTAATTCGAGAAGATCGGACAACAAAAATAATAATTTTCAATAAAAATTCAAAGTTATGTTATTTATAACCCCACTGTCACTAAAGATCCATTTGACAGCATCCAACCGAAGTACATAATTTAAATACACAATTAAAAATCGCAAATATTAAAAAGAATTAAATTTGAAAAAATTCAATTTAAAAGTAATACGAGTATAATCTTGTTAAATAAGACAACTCTGACAAGTGTCAGAAAATGTTACGTGTTTTCATTTAAAAACAAGACAATATAGTAAAAAAGAAAAAAAAATGAAAGAAGAAATGAAAAGATTAACAATGGTACTGTCGAAGGTCTGCACCTTCTTTGTAAATTCTCTCTTTCTCTCTCCCCCCCCTCCCTCCCTCTCTCTCTCACTCACTCTCACGTCTTAGGAGGTGCACTTTCACGGTTCCATCCCATTTTTCTAGCCAACTTCGGCATGCACATCCGCGTTATCTTGAGAGCGAAGCGTCGAGCTTCCGGCTGCGCTCATCAGATTGGCAAGACAATAGGATATACCGTGTGATGCAACGGTATTATGGAATGAATCCTCCCTGAGGCTTCAACTAAAGAGACTTCATATATATACCACTCTGAGTGTCTCTGGTTTATGGGGCCGAGAATTATTGTTGATATTTATCTTTATAAATGCATACGTATACAGTTTGTGAACGAGCGTTGCAAAATTACAACCGAAAAAAAAGGAAGAAACAAACTTTATTGTTGATCTTCAACTAAAACTATTAATTAATAATCCGAAAGTTATTTTGTAATAATTCCATTTCTACGTGAAGCATTCCATTTCTACACTATTACATTCAGCACAAATATAATTTACAAATAAAAAAAAAAAATTTCAGGGTGGTCACAAGTTTCAGTTTATCAATTTCCCTAACAAGTTACTGACATTAAAATTACTTTCTCTAAAAAAATTCTTTTTACAGTAGGAAAATATTAATCTTTACGGAAAATGAGTAAAATTTATGAATTTTAATAATTTCTAAAAATTACAATTCAAACCCTTTCTGAATTTAATTATTTTCTACAATTTTCAACTAAACTTCATCTCTGAATCAATTAATTAAAACAATTTTCCAAAAGTTCTTCTAGAATTCAATTATTTACATACAGAAACTCAATTTTTTATAATAATTAATAATTTTTAATATAATAAATAATAATTTTTTTGAAAAATATAAACAAAATTGATCAAATTTTTGAAGAATTTTAATTATAAACAGGATGAATGATTTCTCAAAAATTTTAATAAGTCCAAAAAGTAAATTTTGAATCTTTAAAAATTATTACAAAACAATTATTGGAATAATTAGTTTTTAAAAATATTTTATTAATGTAATTTTTCGAAAATAATTGTATTTCTGAAAAGAATTTTTGTGTAATTTAAAAAAACAAATGAATTTTTTTTATGAATTGTAATTAAAAACAACAAGGCTAACCTCTTACTACCCTTTTTAAATAAAATTAGCAATTTTAAAAATTTTCTAATTTAAATTATTGTTGAAAACACTAAAAAAATTCAATTTTGGAGAAGTTACAAATAATTGCAGAAATTTAATTATTAAAAAAAAAAAATTCTTCTTATAAAATTTAACAACCTATCATTTAATTATTTTTATAAATAATAAAAATTTCACAGGAATTCAATTATTTTCATAAAACATAATTTAAAATTCTACAAAATAAGAATTTATTAAAAATGATGAAAATAATTTTGATGAAGTTACAGTAACAGTATTCTTATAATATAAAATAATGATTTTATTACTTGGTCAATTTTAATTATTATAGAAGATGAAGAAATCGATCACTCCGAGTGATCGATTTCTCCATGTTTTATAACAATAATTTTATAACTTGTTTACTTTAAAAAAGATTTGAATTTGAAATTTTTGAATGTCTTCATTCCTGTGGAAAATCCTGTTCCAAAAATAAGATTAAAAATAGGAATTGTGCAAATATTCTTCTTCTTTTTCTAAAACAAAATAATAATTTTGTTAAAAAAATTGTAATTCATAAATAAAAATAATGCAAAATAAATAAATTTTCTATTTCTAAATCACAGTTGTTTAACAATTTTCTAATTTTGTTTAGAAGTAAAGAACAAAAATCTGCATAATTTCAATTTGATAAAACATAATATTTAACAAAATTTTAGTCTTCTAATGAAAAGAAGTGAAAAAAATTCAGATGATTTCTATTTGTCATTACAATTTTGAATTAATTATAAAATAAAAATAACTATATAATATACAATCTATCTTAAGATAACAAAAAACAAAAGTATAAACAAAAAACAACTTTAGACTGTGAGGGACAGAAAAAGTGAATGAATGAAAGAACATTCAAATTATTATAGTTAATTTTGAACATTATTGTTTTCTCCAAAATGTTAAAAATAATTCTAAAATGTTATTATTTTTGAAA